GGGCTGCTGTCAGACGGAGCTATAACATAACCCCTTGCACACACAAAATGGTTCTCTTAATGTTTTGTTTTGTTTTTTCTTGAAAGAGTCTTAAAACTACAAAATGATACCTTGGCGGGCAGGTAGCACATTGAAGACAACATAAAGAGAGACTTGTTGCCCTCACATCTGGAGGGGACCAGTGTGAACAGCTGGCTGGAGCCTTTCCTCTGCTCACAGACGCGCTGTTGGGGATTTTTGAAGTGCCTGCTGGCTTTTATAAAAGTGGGGACAAGATTTCTCGATCTGTTCCATGCACATGTGTGTCACTTGCCACAGCGTCACAGATCCCTCCAGCCTGTCTCAGCCAGTGCCAGGTGCGCCGTAGTTCACCACACGTTTCTGCTTCCCACTCTTTTATTCTTTTCCGCCTGACTAGCTTTATTCTGTTTTCATTCCTAGTTGTCTATAGTTTTGTATTTTCTCTTTTTTTCTTAATCAGCCTGCCAGGGTTATCTGTCTTTTCCTCAAGGGTCAGCTTCTGGTTTTTGTGTCCTTTCTCTTGTGATTTTTTTTTTCTATTTCATTAGTCTTACATTTCCTTACATTAAATACTTTTTTTTTAACTCTCTTTTTATTTATGCTGGTCTTTTTATGCCTTCTTCAGGTAAGCCTTTGTCTCTTTATATTACTTCCTTTTTAGCTAATAAAACTATTTAGAACTATACTTCTCCCCTTCTTATCTTAATACAAGTTTAGTTGTGATTTTCCTAATTTAATTTATTTTTGCTTGTAGTACTGGGAATTGAATTTGCTGATGACATAAAACTTTGACACTGGGCTTCACCTCAAGTTCTTTTCAATTTTTCTTTCTTTTTTTTTTTTGGCTCTGCTGGGCATTGAACTCAGGACCTTGCACTTGCCAGACAAGTGCTTACTCTACTGAGTTATCTCTCTGGCTAAAATTTTTAATTTGAGATTTTGAGATAGTGTCTCACCAAGTCTCTTTTTTTCTTTTCATTATGTATTTGGTACAGGGTCTCACTATGCAGCTCGGACTTGTAGTGATCCTCCAATTTTCAGCCTCCCCAGTGCTGGGATTACAGGCATGCACCACTGCACCCAGATTCTGTTGGCTCATTGTGCCCTGCGGGCAGGGCTGGCCTGGCATGCAGGACCAGGCATCGAAGCCTGGTCCCTGCGCTTGCTAACGCAGGTGCTTAGTCCCCTGAGCTATCTCACCAGCCCCTCACAGGCTTAAATTTCCCAAGCTGAGTTCAAAGTTGAAATTCTCCTGCTCTTCTCTCCTAATGTGTAGGAATTACAGGCAAATGCAATCATGCCTGGCTCCTTTTCACCTGGCTCCTTTTCATTCCTTTGAGATTTTTTCCCCTCACTATTCTGGGCTTTGCCAACATGGTTCAAGCGAGCTTCTTCCCTCCCTCCCATTCTTTCCTGGGGACCTAACCCAGTGCGTTTGTGCTCTCAAATTTATTTCTATTTCATTTTCTTCCAGATGATTTGGAAGTTCTTACTGTGTCTTTCTTTCTTTCTTCCTT